TGAAATAGGAAACTTGTTGTTTGAGGTGATTAAGGTAAGCAAATCACATGGAAGTATGTACCTTTTGAGGTCTTTAAGGGCACTTCTATGTCATGGAGGGGCGCTAAAAGAGTATGTCATGGAGTTAATTATGGAAGATCGAGAAGGTAATCATGGCGAGATGGATGAAGATTACAATTCGGTAAAGATGATCCTTTCTGGTATTTCTCTCGAATAATCAAATTGGTAATACCGTTTGTGAATTCTAAAGAAAGAAAGAAAATTTTAGCAAGTCAAAGAATTCTGACTTCCCTTAGTGGGAGAGCCAGAGAGAATCAATCACGAATGGAAGCGTTTAGTTTTCAGAGGAAGACTAAGCATTACATCCGCTATTAAAGGATATTCTTAGTTGGAGAAGGAGATTTCTCCTTCTCTGTTCGTTTGGTCAGAGCTGTGGTTTGGTTGTAAATATGGTTGTGACTTTTCTTGACTCTAGAGGGTCTTTGATGCTGAAGTATTCGAAAGGCTTGAGTTATGTGGAATAATTAGAGGCAAGGGGATGTATAGTATTGCATAAGGTGGGGGTTCACAGCATAAGCCATCACCCTTTTCTCATCAAATTACGCTTTGATTGCATGCCGATTAGTTGCTTGGCTCCTCTGTTTATGAATGCAACAGGTTCTAAATTTGGTTTCATCAGGATTTGATTAGGGGACTTGAGTCCTTAACAGCGAACAAAAGTCGGGAGAGGTACTAGAGTCGCGGCATTTAAGTTTGCGTTTAGGTGATATTCATGTTTTAAAGGCCAGCATTTGGAATGTTTTGAAACCGAGTGAACCTCAAATCGAAGTTTCATCTCGTAGAGATATAGGAAGCCCGAGAAGTTGAGTTCCCGTTATGTCAAGTCAAGGAGGGTACCACTTGGGAACTCGAGGACCTGATGCGAGTCTAATATCCTTACCTCTTCGAGTGACAGATATGAAATTTCGAGGATGAAATTTTTATAACGGGGGTAGATTATAAAAACCCGATCTTAAAAGACAATTATACCCCTAGAATATTTTATTAGGTTTCAAGTTGAATTTTTGATTGGGAAGGAATTTGAAAATTTCGATTGGACCATTGCGTAGATCACATCGAAACGAGTCCGTAGACACGTAGTGGGCTCAAATCAGAGTTGTAACGAAGAAATTTCGATCAAAAGAAGTTCAGTGGCACAATCGTAAATAGTTCAAAGTTCAGACTTTTTTAAAACCTAGATTCTGCTGTTTCACGATTTTGGGGAGGACCAGCCATTTTCAAACTTTGATTTCTCCTCCGTCCAGCCACCAAATCAAGTGACACAATTTGCAATCTCTTCGTCTTTCTCTCCCCTTTCCATTTATATCCATATCCGGCCTTGATTCCAAGTGAATCCACCAGAAAATCGAGCCAAAGTTGAGCCAAAAACGAGCCCAAACTGCTGTGCGAAAATCAGCAGGGTTTCGTGCTCTTTTCCGGCAGTTTCCTGCCACCGTCTCCAGCAAGTGAGGCATGGTTTCTCATCTACTTTTCGAGCTCTAGCTGATGGTTGGATAGGATTGGATCAATTTCAAGCGTAGATAACCCAAATCATGACTTGAAATTTGGCCGGATTTCGGGATGAAATTCCGGTCACTTCCGGCCATTTTTCGGGGTAGGTCCAAACAAAAGTGACTCCAAATGAGGTTTTGAACCTAGGGTAGGAATCTTGGCAAGTGGTTTGGAGTATTTCCGGCTGCCAGAATTTGATCTGCACACCCACGCCCTGCCGGCGCGTAGGTACTTTCGGAGTCCAATATGGTTAACGTTTGATCCCCGAACAGATCTCACCTATTGTGCGATTTTCGGGTTCGATAAGTTTGAACCGTTAGATCGCAGTTAATTTCACATATGTTGATCTAGACAATTCTAGGATCGTGTAGGATTTGACGGATCATGAATCGGAGTGCCGGATACTCCAAAATTGCCAATCCTAGGATAAAATAACCGTAAATGTCGGATCGTGCGATCGTGATCAATCCGACAGTCCGATTTGGACCAAACTTGCAGGACATGGTTATTAAAATACGTAGAACCTATAAAAACTTCCGGATTTGTGATCGGAGGTCTTGGGCCCCACGGGCCCGGTTGACCGAGCTTAGGCGGTTTGATCCCTCGGTTGACCCTGAGTCTTCCGAGGCAGTTATAACCTTTGAGAAGCGTTAGAATGACCATGTTAGCGAATCCATACCGAAAATGAGTTATCTAGGTGGTGTTATGGATTAAGTATAGATAGTTATTTATAGACTGCTAAATTGTGCATAGTTTAACTATGAGTTACTTGAAGGTGTACTATAGTATTCGTTGGAATCTATGGGCGTAGTGAATATCAACTTATTGTTTTATTCTTTTATTAGCTTATTTATTTAGTAATTTATTTGCTATTAAGATTATTATTTTAGTGTTGGAATGGTATGATAATCGAAGTTCGAAGTGGTAATAAACTAATTAAATATTTAAGTACATGTCCATATTTAATACATATACTCGGTAGCTGAAAATGATGAGTCATGGCCCTTGGTCTTTATCAGAATATGGCATATATATTGGAAGTTGATATTAAGGGCGGGATATGGATTGTGAACTAAAGGGAGAGTATTGATAGAAGTTTGGGATATGGTGTTTCAAACCCACCACAAGGGTACCCCCTAGTTGCTTTGAAACAGTGTCATTTATAAATGATGCCCCATGTGTTTCGGGAACCCCTGACCTGTGTGGTGCGAGGAATGCAGCTCAGGCTAACCAATGGTTCCCTGAGGCCTGCGAGGATTGCGGCTCGGATAGACTTGTTGTCTCCGAGGCCTGCGAGGGTTGTGGCTCGGATAAACTTGGTATCTCCAACGCCTATGAGGATTGCAGCTCAGATAGACTTGGTATTGTTGAGGCCCAAAAAATTCACGGTTCGGCCCAAATGAATTCCCGGCCCAGCTCAATGTCTTATTAAGAAAAGACCCGATTTGGAGCACATGAAAGTTCGTCATTCACGCTAAGAGTTGAAATAAGCACTTGCTTTACAAGCCCATGCAAATTATCCCGTCAAGCATCATATCCCTTTTCAAAGGCGAAAAAATTCAAGCACGCCAAGCGACATGCCCAAGCGAAAAATCATTATTATTACACCTAGCAACACTACAAGCTTAAGTGGGCCCAAGCCATGCAAATGCTCAGGGCTTGCTTGAGTGGGTTGTGGTATGGATGGTAACAAGTTTCCATGAGGCCCATTGATGGGCCGAGAAATGGAAGTTTCGGGCTGCTTGGGAGCCTCGAAACTCAAGCCCATTTCTTGAGCCCAAACATGTGGGTAAGCATAAAGGAGAGAGAGAAAGTAGCCCAATAAACTAACTTATTGTCCTAGAAGGCCCATGCAACTAAAATAAGGATCTGCAAAAGCCCCAACACTTGACTGGAGAACAAAGGCCACGAAGGGAGCCAGGACATCCACGTACGCAGAGCTGCTGGGAGGCTCCAGCACATGGGGGGAACGAATTTCAAGCAAAAGCATTCAAAGAACCAGGGGGTATTGGGGCGCAGACTGCTAGGAGGGGAGGCACCCTTCAAACCCTTTGGGAAGACTTGGCGAGCAGGTTCTGTAGGAAGTATTTCCAACATGAGGAAAGGGTCACTACGGCTCAACTCAACAACACTTGCCAAAGGCATGGGGAAGACCCTGTGGACTTTGTGTGTCGGTTCCGGGACCTGGCTCTGGACTGCTATGATGAGAATGATGAAGAAGCACTTGTTGAAATTTGTATCAGCAACATCATGGCAGATTACAGAGTCTATATAGAGAATATTGGCATCAGCCAATTTTCTCTGCTGCTGGAAGCAATGAGGAAAACAAGCATGTCAGTCAACCTAAATGGGCAGGAAGCTTGAGGGAGTGAAGAGACAGAAGCACACCAGACATTAGACGAGGATTCCAAATCATCCAGTGATTACAATTCATGCAAAAGGAAAGACAGGGAGATGTACCCGCCACTACCGTGCAAAGATAAAGAATTCCATGCCATTCTTGATACTATGTTTGCCGACGGCGCAATCAAACCCCTCAGGCCCTACAAAGTCCCTACCATAGAGGAAAAAGGTGATCCTAGGTATTGCCGTTATCATCAGTTTGTGGGTCACCCAACCACTGCTTATCAAACTTTGAGGAAGATCTTGCACACCGAGATACATGACGGAACTCTTGAGCTGCCCTTTAGGAAGCAAGCTTTTGACAAAGATCTCTTGCCAAAACGAAGGGGAAAGGAGATGGCTGATGTCATTACATGCTTTGATGACTTGCTCGACGACGATGTATTGTGTCACCCGTGGAAGAATGACCTAAAGCCATCAGAGGATATTTGGGAACATTGGACATGCTGGAAGAACGCCACTTGGGGGCTTCATTTGGTCAACAAGATTATCAAGAGACAGCTGCCGTAACCTCGCATAACCTCACCGAAATGGAAGAAAGTACAATGGGTTATGAGCTGCAAATCACTGTTTGACTGGTTGGGTTATGAACTGCATGCAAGTAAAGCAGCAGCTATGGCTCTGTTAAATATCTCCCCAGAGCATGGCAGCCTTGTACAACACATGCCAACCTAAGCCACAAGCTTTCATTCTATTCCAAGTCATACACACTCCTTGGCCCTTTCTGTAACAACCCGATCCTTAAATAATATTTAATTAATAATGTAATAGAGGAAAAGACTAAACTACCCTTATAATATTTTATTAGGTTTTAAGTTGACTTTTTGACCGAAGAAGAATTTGGAGATTTCGTTTATACCATTGCGTAGAGCGCGACGAAACGAGTCCGTAGACACGTAGTGGATTCGAATCGGATTTGTAACGAAGTAAATACGAGTATTTTACGCAAATGGACAAAATTGTAATTTTGGAAAATCTGACTTTTAAAATCTGATCTCCCTTTCTCTCTCTCCTCACTCTCTTCTTCCTCACGAACAGAACCCCCCCCCTGTTTTTCTTCTTGCTCCAGCCGACACCCCAAACCACCATAATCACCTCCAGCCGCCACCACACCTCACCGGACCGGCCAAGGAAGCACCGCCACCACCTCCGCAACCCAGCCCAGCTTGCTCCGCCGTCCAGCCGCGACGAATCTGCCAGAAAAAACCAGAAAATCGCGTCAATTTTGACAGATTTTCAAAGCCTTCGTTCTCCCTCCTCCGGCCACCAAATCGGACGAATTAGGTATGGTTTTTCAACTGATTTTCACGTTCTAGCTGATGGTTGAGTAGGTTTTCAGAAATTTTGAGGTCTGAAGGATTAATTTTCGAGCTGAGTTTCTGCCGACTTTGAGAGCTCAGTTTCAGTCACTTCTAGCCACTTTTTGGCCATAGTCCCAGAACAAAAGAGGTTCCAAATTGGGTGCTTTACCTAGAATAGGAGTTTGGGCTGACGATTTGGAGAAAATCCGGCCACCGGAAATTGTTAGGGACACCCACGCACGGCCCGCGCGTGGGCGGCGCGTGACCCAGGTAGCAGGGACCATCCGTGGTCCCAGAACGATCCTCGTGTCCTCACGAGCATGTAGGATTTCGCGGATCTCAATTCGGATAACGTTTGAACCCTGAACGGATCTCGCATAGTGTGCGATTTCCGGGTTCAATACGTTCAGACCGTTGGATCATAGCCAAACTGGAGTACGTTGATCTAGGTATTTTAAGGATTGTGTAGGATTCGACGGATCGTAAATCGGAGTCTCAGATGCTCCGAAAAAGCCAACCCTAGGGCTAGGTTTACGGAAAATCGTTTGTCAGTCCGATCGTGCGATCGTGAGCAATCCGACCGTCCGATCGAGACCAAACTCTCGAGACATGTGTCCTAGGTTTATTGGAACCTTTAGGAATGTTCGGATCGGAATTCTGAGGTTGTGGACCCCACAGGGTCCTGAGTTGACTTTTTGGGACTTCATCGCTTTTGAGTCGCGAGATTTCTTCTAAGTCGTGCCCATTGAGAGGGAAGTTAGTCTGGGCATAGGAATCACTTTAAAATGATGCACGCACTTTTAGGAGCCGGGGGTCAGGGTTTTTAATTTAATAGTATTTTCTTGAGCAGAGTTATTAATAAAGATTATGATGGTTATTCAGGCACTCGGGCACCAGATGACCCGTAGGAGGGACTTTCAAAGGGTCCAGCTAGCTCAGAGTATCTGTGAGTGGACCTTTTTGTTTTCATAAATGAATTTATGCAATTTAATATCATTATTTGATCTTGAATGAGTTTATTCATTGATCAGAGTTTTAATAGCTTGATTTATCGCTTTTATATGTTTTATCTTTATATTTTACATGCTGCTGAGTTGAGAGTGCCTAGAGATTTTGGCATACTAGAGTTTTAGATAGTTAACAAATAAAAGGGCAGCAGAGTTCAGAGTTAAATAAGAATTTATTTTATTTCTTGTTAAATTATTTCTGAAACTATATTTTCTTAGAAACCACCATAGGTACCCAAGATTAATTAAGATTGCCTTCGATAAATATGTTGCCTTCGGATTTAAAAGTTGCCTTCGGTTATAATGATGTCTACGGACATCCAGTTGCCTTCGGTTATAATTATGTCGACGGACATCCTGTTGCCTTCGGTTAGGTCAGCATGCTTGACACTGCCCCACGAGTTGCGGGGACGCCCGGACCGTGAGGTGCGAGATTGCGGATCAGGTTGACCTAGTGTCCCCTGAATCCTGCGAGATTGCGGTTTGGGTTGATCTTGCGTCACCAAGACCTGCGAGAATGTGTCACTCAGGTGGCACGAGAATGGAATTGACAGATTATAAAGGAATTGACGGAAATTAAAGGAATTGACGGATTATAAGGAATTGACGGATTGCTAAATGGGTACACTTAGGTGGTAGATTTAAAGTTGATTTCAATGCTTTCGAGGACCTAATGTTTTAATCAAGTGTATGATTGACTTTATATATATATATATAAATATATATATGAATGCAGTGATTCCAGTACGAGTATTTATATAAGAAATGATTTAGTTTTTATAACAGTTTTTACAGAGGGGTTAGTATGTTTATATGCTATTTTTCTAAAGCTTTGTTTCTGGTCCACTCACCCTTTAAATGTTTTGCGCCCCCAGGCAGTAAGCGTGCACAGTGAGCCACCACCGGGCCGAGTCCATCTTCCACCACCTTCCTTGACAAAGTAGGGTCTTGTTTAATTATTTTATACCTATAATGTAATCTGTGTAGAGCTCTGATATTGCCCTAGAACACTTGTCTAACTGTTAGTATGTAAATTTTTGTATGCTGGCAGTTGGTGTATATTTTTATATGCATGTTTGACAGGTGTAATCTTGGGATTGGTCCGTCTCAGGGGAGACTCTACTGAGTTTTTCGGCAGAAGTCAAACCCCAGTTGTTTTAGAAATTTTGACTGGAAGGGTAATTTGGTCATTTGTGCTCGGCACTTGCCAGGTGTCGGACATGCACAGGGTTCAGCTCGGATTCCAAAGTGGAATTTGGGTCGGGTCCTGTCACTTTCATACTTGAGGGCTTGATTTGATTGGAGTATTCATCAATGCAAAGTGGCTCAAAGCCTTACTATTGCTGAGTTGCCTTAGCACCTATTCTTTTGTTTTTGGCTTTTCAAATTTATTTCAAAGAAGAACTCCTTCTGTGTTTTCACCATATGCTTTAACAACTTTTGTAGAATGCACCACCATTATGGCATGCCAAGGTGTAAGATGATATTAACATTCTTCTGTTTTTCAAAACATGTTCTTTGAAAATATATATATACAAGCAAACTTTCTTTCAAAAGTTAACCCTCTCAGCAGTAACTATACCAAGCAAAGCCACTTAGATGGGATCCCAAGCTGTTAACAAGGACCATGCACAAGCAATATCATGTGTCAATCTTGAAAAAAGGAAGGTCATGCTATCAAGGAAAATCATTCCAGTCCTTGCAATATTTGAAGAGAGTGTATGTGTTGGGGTGCTGAAAAAAAAATCAGATCACATAAGGTAGGCTTTGTGGAGAAAAAAAAATGTAGAGGCAATGGGGCAAACACTTTTGTGATCTTGTAACAATTGGCAGCATGTACCTTGCACCTACCACAGCCCAACCAGTTAAAATCTCAAGCAACTCATGCATTTCATTATTTCCAACCAAGCAGAGTGTACAAAACAAGCTGGAAATCATTATCTCAATGCATTCCAAACCTCAACAATTCATGCATTTCATTATTTCCAACCAAGAAAAGTGTACAAAACAAGCCAAAACTTAATATGTTAAGCATTCTAAATCAAAAGTTCTAACAGAAAGTATGTAACAAAGCTGTGTTTCATGTTTCCAACAACATGAGCTTTAGGCTCTCCAAAAAAAAAGGTACAACTCAAGCCCAAATGCAACCAACTGTGCTACAGATCAATACACCCTGCGGTTTAAAAAGGAAAAGCTACTACGCACTGAGCCAACCAGCCCCCCACAACAAAGAAATGCAACCTACAAAGCGAAATAAGGACAGGTGTTAGAGAAAGATGGTGCTGGAAGATATGGCCTTGCCAAAAACAATTATATATATTACGGTGCAAAGAAGGAGAATTGGGTACCTCAACTAGATCACGGTCCATGACTAAAACAGAACAAAAGAAGCACGGAGAAATGATCTTTTTGATGTTTCCACCACGCGCCAAGCGCCATTCTCAGTCGCTCATTTGTCAAGGAGAAGGTCTCATAACTTACGGCACTGGCTCTCCAATTTGTGTTCCTTAAGGCTCAACGCATTAACGACAACTCTTGCTTAAGGGGATCGGGCATGCATCTTTATGCTACAAGCAACTCGTGCTATAAAAACAGTGTGTGATATAACTTTGTTAGGTTCATTTTGACACATGATTTATCATGTTATTCACCCAATATTTTAAGTTAGTTCTTGACATTTCATAGCTTTTTACTTCTTTTTTGTGTTTTAATAGGTTTTACTTTGGTTAGAATGAAAATGAACTAAAAATGCATTATTGGTTATAAATTCTGTTTTTGTTCATTTTCGTAGGTCATCTTCTTGGCCTTGGATCAGCATGCTCCGTTGCTCGGATGAGGTGAAGATCTTCATGAAACCTGTTCCAATGGATGTTGACTAAAACATATCCAAATTTGAACTCCATTGAACAAGTGTAGCCTATCCAACTGATCTGCATGTTACAACAGCTCACCAATGATGCAATGTGAAGTGAGAAAAATAGTTGCAGCAAAGGAGTTGCTGGAACAACTGTCAAGATATCTTCAGGTTATGAGATATTTGTAGATACTTTGCCACCCCAATCTTTCATAAAGATAGAACTCATTAAAGAATTAAAAGTTGGCTGCCAAACTTGGTTGGACTCACGTGATGGAGTTGGAAGGTGGAAACCAATTCAAGTTGGAATTGAGTTACCACTTTGGAAACAAATGGAGGTGGCAGCCAGCACTTGTTGGCACTTGTAGGCTATATATATTTTCAGATTGTTCTCAAGAGAAAAGAGAGTGTCATTTAATTTATGTATTTTAGTTTCTTTGTTTTGTTTTAAATATTAATTATGTCTATTTAAATTACTTAACTAAGGTTGGATGAAACACCATTATTAAATAGAGTTCTAGTTTTTATTTTCAATTCTCAAATATTGTGGTGTTCAATGATTATAATTTTCACTTCACATGATTAATAGATTAATCTTCTTTTCACCACTTCTATCATGTATTGTGACATATAACATGTATTTGTGGTAGTTAAGAGTTCGGATTAATCTATTAATTCATCCTTGGTTTATATTTCTAATTTACAAATTTCTTTGATATTTTGTTCTTCAAATAAACTTTTTCACATAGGATGCTTAGGAAGCTTTGATCCTTTGTAGTTAAATAATTTTGTTTACATTTTATGCTTAGAATTTGTACTTATGAAGGGAAGGAAAATTTACTTATGATATAAATTACAAGCTTAATTGATAAATCTTGAGAAAGCAGTAGATTGATTTCTAGATTGCTACTCCATGGGAATTGAAAGATAAATAATTAGGATCTTATGGAATGATGGTGTAGATTCTAATACCTCAGTTATTTTTCTCATAAATGTAAATCTTAATTTCAGTTTATTGTCATTTCCGTATTTGTTTTGTGCTTTATTTAATTTTCTTTATCAATAAACAAATCACCATTTGAATCAACTAGGTTGGCAATGAAATTAACTTGGGTATAATTGGTTTTCTATCTTTACACGCAATCCCTTGGGTACGATCTCGCTCTTACACGTTTATGCTATATTTGATTCGTGCGCTTGCGAGTTTATAAATTTTAAAAGAAACCTCTTTTGAGGCACAACAAACTTCTTCTAAGTATTAAGCGGGAAGTCCACGCGAGGTCCTAATAAAACACATGCTCAAATCCTTTCAGCACACTATTGTAAGGTCGAAAAGGATGTTTCCTTTGCAACCTTCTATCATTCGCAAAATATCTTCGATAGTTGAGTCTGCCAACTCACAATAGAACCACTCTGGCCAACCCTTAATGATGCTGCAAGGGTATTGGAAAAATCAAGGGGCCGCCGGAAACATGCATTTCTTCTAAACAGTACCTGGAAATAAGAGTGGCCTCCAAAGCTTACTCAGTGCCTATGATCAAGTCTTGGCAAGTGTTTCTAAGCTATGAAGGTAGTCGTCCCTTCTTCAACTCATTGTGCAAGGGGAAATAGGCCATCACTCATCACAGAGGTAATTGTGACTTAGTACTTGAATCTCTCCAAGAATTGCCAAGAAAGAATATGCTGCAAAAGGGCAAAGTATAAAACTAATTCTCTGTGGTAAAGCCAAGTAATCTCCACACTAGCATGCAAGCAATATGAACTTCACAAGCCAAGCAAAGCAAGCTATCTCATGCCAAGCGGAATGCATAAACAAAAATATTTTCGGAGCATCATGCAATCTATTACTCGAGCTTATGACAAGCAAAGTTTCCATTCCATGCCCAATCAATCATTCCAGTAGACCTTTTTTCACAAAGTAAGTGTTAAAGACTGAACACAATTTACTTGCTAGTTGCCTTTTTCACAATAACAAAAAAAAAAAAAAAACCTATGAGTTACACGGCATTCTTGCAGACCCATCATACACATGTTTATATCTATCCCTATAAAGCCAAAATAAATAAATAGTTATCCATGTCCAAGCTCTAAGCTCATAAAAAGAAACCAATGGTGCTTTCCTCAAGCTTTCAACAACCTCTAATCCTATGTCTTAATCATGCGGTTACAAGCATAAGTTCGTGATGCATATAGCTCAACAACAATCAAAAAGGTGGTCAAGAACGTAGTACACGCAAAATATACGCCAAGCAAGGCAAGTCAAGCTCACGCCAAAGAAAATGCTTAAGCAAATGTCCAAGCAGCATGCAATTTACCCATAGCAAGCAAAATTCTCAAGCAATTCCCATGACAAGCAAATTCTCCCTCAAAATGCAAAAAGATTCACGCATTGCAGAGCATGCATTCTGTCAATTTCTATTTCCACAACATGGGAGAAAAGTCCAGATTTAATCAAGCATGTGTTCACAAGAAAGACAAGCCTAGGCCAAGATATCAGTCTATATCTATTCCTACAGAGTTAAAAAAGAAGGACTTGAGATTCCAGCAAACGAGCAGAGCTACTTACAAAGAGAACAAGATGGAAGTCTAAATGCTCAAGTTACGAAGCCGGTACGCTCAAAAGTTACCCTTTTGCCTAGCACAGAGGGCCCATCACGCAATAAAGAAATAAAGAAAGGGAGAGAAGCAATACATACCAGCGGTGTCTCCTCGCGGTTTCGTCTGTACCCATCCAGCAGCTTTGAAAAATCAAAAAAGAGAGAACCCATCTTTGAACTTGGGCACAAGGGATAATTTCATCCATCTGCTCTTTACGGCAGCCCAGCCCATTTATAGCTGCCGAAAGAAAAAAGCCCCTACAGGTATCTCCGAGGCTTACGAGTATTGCGGCTCGAGTAGACTTGATGTCTTCGAGGCCTACGAGGATGGAATTGACGGTATTAATGGAATTGACGGATCAGGAATGGGGGTACGCCTAGGTGGAGAGAATCCAGTTCAGTTCTTTTGAAACTTCATACGGTTCTAGAGATGTTCTAAGAATTAGAATCGAGTTTTGTTGGCATAATATTTTATTTGAATTATTGAGGCCTGAGGCCAGAGTGATATGACGCTTGATTTTCTTGGATATAATTTATTGCATGCTGGCAGTTGGGTTATATATAAACATATAT